TCAGCTTATCGCCGTTCGCAAGCAAAATGTCAGGAAACCAGTTACATTAAAAGAATTAAAGTTTTCTTCTTTGCCATATAATAAACATCTTATTAACCGAGCTAAGTCGGTCTGTATGGAAGAATCGTGACCTCGATCGTGTGTACAGACCTCGGTCAAGATTCTCCTATACAGACCTCCAGCTCGGTTAATAAGAGCTAAATATAGCGTGTCAAAAATAAATGGTAATTTATCTTCTCTTCCAACAGAACTAGCTTCTATATTCTTAATTTTCTCAAAGCTTACTTCTACGCAGTGTTTATAACTGATAACATATCACAGTCTGCCCTACTGACAAGGAAACGGCAGGTTTTAAAGTGGTGATGATAATTTTTTTCATTCTTAGCGGAGATCATTTCCGAAATTTCTTTGCAATATAAGCTGATTTTCTGGAAAAAAAATCATTTTCACTTTCAGTTTAATTTATTATCAATCAGCTAAGGCCCAGTCCGCACTAAGCCGGAGGAAAATTTAAACAGAGGTTTCACTGTACTCTGAAAACGCATCAGATATTTTCCGGTTACATTACGCCGGAAGAATTTAAAAACGCACCAATCACGGGTCATTTTGGATTTGTGTTTGAGGAAACCTGGGTCAGGGAAATCACATGACTATCGTGACGTGATCGATTTCGAAAAGCTCCGTTTTCAAACTGTTTTCCGCCCTCAAGAAAACGAAAAGCCGGCGTTTTCAAATTCCTCCAGTTTGAAGAGCGTTTTCGAAAAGCTCCGTTTTCGTGACAGATTAGTGTGGAGGGTAGGCCTAACTGTAGAAATAAAGCTGCGTTTTCAAACTTCTTCGGCGCAGTGTGGACGCTGCCTACGATCATAGTCTTTTGCAATCAGTTACCTGGCTAACGTCATGCATATAATTCTTCTCCTTTTTCGTTCATTTTTAGTTGGATATTTTTTACCTCCCTAATACGGATGGACAATAGCTGTCAAAATGACCGACACCGAACGATCTTTGAGTTCTTCCCCTGAGCCTCAAAACTTTTGTTCTTGAAAATTTACCCATCGATACATATCATATTGAAACGAAAATTCAGGTCTGGCTATATACTTAAAAAAAGTATCGACCAAAGAAACTTCGTTGCTGTTAACGTGTATAACCTGCTTAGTTTACTAGTTTAGGGAGTAGAAAAATGTCAAAAGGGATTATAGCAAATACTACTCAATTAATTAACTAAAAATCCAAGAAAAATTTGTAAAAGGTTTAAAATTTCACCAGAATTCCAATTTGTATTTCAAAAACTCGTTCCACTGACCCTTGCAATCCTGTATGTTATGAAAATACGCGCGCGAAGAAATAACTGTCGGCTTTATATATTCAGAATTTACTTCTAGGCAAAGGTTACACGGATTTTATAAAAAAAATTACATTCTTGTGTGACTAAATTGCTCATTTGATCAGGCTCAAAGTTTCATGTGTTCACCGATCCAGTAACACGGAACCCTTTTCCAGGCTCTTTGGTAAGATGAAGAATACAAAAGCAAAAACCGACACAACGTAGAATGATCTTTTGAAGGTGTACTATATTTCAGCTGGCCAAACCAGCCTTTTTCAGGTACAATGGAAGATTTTACATTGGTGCGTGTTTTTATGTAGCCGATATTTACGTAATACCGGAAATACGCAAAAGTAATTGATAGTGTAAATTGAAGATAAGCATACGGTAAAATAAAATAACATGACAAAAGAACATAATAAAAGAAAACAAATGGAAACAATTAATATGTTTCTTCGCGGATGTTCAGACCATTAGGATCAATTGTTCTGCCTTTTT